TTCAAACGGCCATTTCTCACTGTTGAGTTCTGATTCTCTTTATTCTAGACACTAGCCCTTTGTCAGATTTGTGATTTGCAGATTTAAAAAAAATTGTAATTTGTCTTTTAGCCTAACAGGGTCTTTCTCAGAGCAAACCTTTCAAATTTTGATGCAGTCCAACTTATCAGTTGTTTTTTTTTTATTAATCATGCTTTTGTTATCAAGTCCAAACACATTTTGCCTAATTGTCGATGCCGAAGACTTTAAAACCCAGGCATTCGTTTGATCTGGTCTGCCTGCTCTGCTTGCTTTTTTTGGTCGTTTGCTTTGTGTTATTTTTTTTTTCCTTTCCTTTTTCCATGCAGCTGAAGGCCTCAGTAGCTGAAGCCCTTGCTGCTGAACACTGAAATTTATCCTTCACTGGCTCCTTTATCAATAACTCATGGGTCACCATGGTAATGGTCACTTGGGTTGTTTTTCAGGAACTTGGGCCAGCTCCTGTCCAGTCTGAGCTGATGGAGACCACTTCCTCTTCAACTGGGCTGTGCGATTGCTGGACAGGTGGCGTTTTGATGTTAGAGGGCCAAAACTCCACCCTCGGATCGTGCTAACACTGGCATTTTCTGTGCATATGTTCTATGAAATGACACTTGTGCAGAACCTGCCAGTTTATTTTTCCCCATTGTCAACCACCTTTCCCCACAGCCTAGACCACCCAACTTCCCTAGCCCATAAATATTGCTAAGCCTAATCTTTGGGGAGGCAGATTTGAGAGCTGGTCTCCCACCTCCTCACCTGGCAGCCTTGTAAATAAATCTTTTCTCTTTTGCAAATCCAGATCACTGTGATTGATTTACTGTGCATGGGCAGAACAGACCTGGACTTGGCTGATAATAATTTTCTCCTATTTTTTTCTTAAAGTTTTATAGATTTACACCTGTGAATTAATTTTGAGTTAATTTTTGTATAAAGTGTGAGATTTAGGTTGATGTTCATGTTTTTAACCTGTGCATGTCCAATTGCTCCAGCACCATTTGTTGAAAAGGCAATCCTTCCTTCATTTAATTGCCTTTGCATTTTGTAAAAAATCGCTTGGACATATTTGTGTCGTCTATTTCTGGATTTTAAATCTATTCTGTTCCATTGCTGTATGTGTCTATTCCTCTGCCAATACCACAGTCTTGATTATTGGTTATGTTAAAAAAGTTTCTGCACTAATTCTCAGTGTGGCCTGAGAACCATTTTTGAAGCTAGAAGAACCTCTCCAAGGGACTGACTAGTCTAATTATCCCATGTAATCCAGAGAGCTAAAGTGAGAGTGTGCTGTACCGAGAGTCAAAAGACCTGGGTCTTGTAGTCTCAGCTCATCAGGATGATTAGTGTGAAAGGAAATGTATTTGATCTATATATATGGTTTAGACTTAAGTATAGTTCAAATACAAAGGGTTATTATTATAGGGATAAACAAAATGAGATTCAGAGATTAAGGTTCTCCTTACCCAAAGTCATCTTCTATTTGATTTGGTGACACCCATCAGAAAGTTTCACGTATTATTCAGCACCACATAAACATAGAGTCCAAACTCTGCCAGGCATTGTGAAAAGTCCCTGGTGTATAAACACAAAAAGACATGGTCTCTGTCCTCAAGAATCTTTCTACTTAGTGAGGACATAACTAATTTTATAAAAGTTAAATGAGTACAAATTAAATTTGGATTGAGTATTCCTTTAGAATTCCAGGATCCACCTAGGTGTATGAACCGACAGGATAATAAATCATTGTCCCAGTTCTCTGTAAGTCCTCAGCTACACTCTCAGACTTTGACGGGGATGCATATGACTTTGGTAGAGTCAACAGGAGAGAGGATTTTCCTGGACAGAGCTAGAAATCCTGTGAGGCTTACACACTTGTAACCCATTCCCAGCAATCACCATCTACACTCCAGGATTCCTCTGCCATCCATTTATTAAATCCAAAACATCCTGTGGAGACTATTCAGAGCCCAGATGTCAGGCTTAGTCCTTGGGTGATGAAATAATGTGTATAACGAACACTCATGACACGAGTCTACCTATTAAAAAGCACATGTATCCCCAAACACAAAATAAAAGTTAAAAAAATACAATTAATAAAAGTTTTTTAAAAAAATGTATATTGCCTCCATCAGGTGGGGTAGAATGTGCGGAAAGTGGGCATTATCAAGGATCAGCCTGCTTCTCCTGTGTGCTCCCAGGTCTCATTTCATGAATTGATTTCAGCCTAGGACTGTCTGTCAATGTAAGTGCACGTGGACTAGCTTTAACAGTCAGAGAAAGACTGGATGTTTAACCTTCTTTTAGGTAGCCGGCAGTGAAGAAAATCTTATTTGGAGAACAAAGGCTATTACTATCAAATCATTTAAACATTATTACATGCTATTTGGTGCATTCCAAATGCACGAGAGTAAAGCAAAACACACAATAGCAAAACATGATCTATTGCAACAAAATCAAAATCCAGTCTCTGACTCAGATGGCTGGAGAGATGCTCTGAAGCAAGAAGTGCCATCTCAGCCACTGGTGAGGCTCTGCTGCCCCTAGGTGGCCAAAGTGCTTCTCTGACAAAGCTGCTGGTGCTTTCCTGCTGATAATGTTTGAGCTGGGCAGAGCCCACTACAGCTCCGCAAAGCTGCTGTAGCCAGATTGCCTGTCTAGATTCCTCCTCTCTGGGCAGGGCAGCTCTGAAAGAAAGGGAGCAGCCCCAGTCAGGGCCTGTTCCATAAGATTCTAATACTGTTTGTTCACTATACCCTTTCTTTGTCTAGATATGTTTAGAAACGAATGTTATATTACAATTGTATACAGTATTCAGTACAGTAACATGCTGTACAAAGTTGTAGCTTGGGAGCAATAGGTTATATAACCTAGGTGTGAGGTAGGCTATACCATCTAAGTTTATGTACATACACTCTATGATGTTTCCCACAATGACTCACTTCTCAGAATGTGTCCCTATCATGAAGCAACACATACTGTAGTTGCAACTGTTTGATTCTGGGATGCTGCTATGTCTGGATTAAGCACTGGTGGAGTACATTAAAGACTTGAAAAAGTTGTCTGTAATAGCTATCACCACTTCATCACCAATTACTCTTTCCTCAACTCACTGTGTTCTGACTTCTGCCCAAGCCACTCCACTGAAACTGCTTCTGCCAAGAATCTTGCTGCTAAATCGAAGTCCTTCTACTATTTGCTCAGAAGCACTTAAGAGTCTTGAATTCCTCCTCTTCTGTGATGCTTCTGGGCTTTCCTGGTTTTCCTCTCCCTACTTTTGGTCCCCTTAGCTGGTCTATCCTCCTCTCTATAGTCTGCCCGTGTTTCCTAGGGTTCTGTCTTAGGCCCAGTGATCTTCTCCCTCTAAAGACTCTCCTTGGGCAGTCACAGACACCCCCACTTCTAGATGCTGATGTCTCTCAATGCTCCATCTCCATCTCAGCTCTCTTCGGGGTCCCACATCCATCTGCTTGCTGGGCAAGATACTCCAGTAGGAGGTCCCAAATTCGTCTCAATATAGCAGTGTTGAAAATGAAACTCAACTTCTTCCACTCCCAGAAGTACCCCGTGTTCCAATCAACGGCACCCCTACATATCTAGATGCTCAAGCCAGAAGTTTCGGCATTGGCTCCTTCTTCCTCCTTTCCCACATTTAATCAATTCTTTAATCTTGTTGATGCCAGCTTTAAAGGTCTCTCAGATCTGTCCCTGTGTTTCGTGTCCTCTGCCACCATGAGTCCTGGCCCCTATCATTCCATCCCTGGATTAGGGAAGCAGCCTCCTCACTTGGCTCCCGATCTTTATTCTTGTTTCCCTCCAGCCCATTCTTGATGCTACAGGAAGAGTAAGCTTTCTGGAATTCAAATGTAATCACAACCGTTCCCAGCTCAAAACCTGGCAGTACTCTCCATTGTCTCAGATTAAAATCCAAGCCCCTTGCTTCCTGAGGCAGAGATGAGTGTATGTGAATTTTAAAAAATAACCACACAGAAAAACAGATTCTTTGGGATGTGCCGTTCTGCGAATTTTTTTTTTTTTTTTTTTTTTTTTTTTTTTTTTTTTGGTGGAGTCTCCCTCTGTTGGCCAGGCTGGAATGCAGTGGTATGATCTTGGCTCACTGCAACCTCTGCCTCCCGGGTTCAAGCCATCCTCCTACCTCAGCCTCCCAAGTAGTTGGGACTACAGGTGTGCGCCACCATGCCCAGCTAATTTTGTGTTTTTGGTAGTGACGAAATTTCACCACGATGGCCAGGCTGGTCTCCATCTCCTGACCTCAGGTGATCCGCCCACCTGAGCCTCCGAAAGTACTAAGATTACAGGCGTGAGCCACGTGCCAGGCCTTCTGTGAATTTTAACACATGTATAGATTCTTGGGGCCACCCCTATCCATCACCCCCCCAAACACCCTCATGTTATCCCTTCGTAGTCGTACTCCCTCGCCCCACCCTATCTTTTTCAGAATGTCAAGGAAATGGAATGTGATCTTTTGAAGAAGCAAAAACACCCAAACCCCTCAATGTGTTTTTAATGCCCTTGCCTACCTCTCCCCCCGGGCCTCCGACAACTGCCCTCCCAGCTCAGTTCTCGGAGCGCTCCAAGCTCTCCTCCACTGAGCCAAGCCCCCCAGCCGCTGTCAGGGCGTGGTTTCCACTGTGCAGCAGTACTGAGTGCTTTCCCCACGACAGACCTTTCACGCGTGATAACGGCCAGGTTATTGGCCTTTCTCATTACAGTTCTTTCCTCGCCTGGACCGCGTTCCGGCCACCGCTGTATCCCCAGCGCGCAGGATGGGCCGAGCCCCGACCCGCCCCGAAGCTTCACGGGCGCACGCAGCAGACGGGCGTGGAGACGTTCCCAGTTCCGGCTCTGCCCGGACCTACGAAGGCGGAGCGAGCATGCGCACTGGGAAAAGGGGCGGGACGCGCGCGGTCCCCAGCCTCCAGCACGCGGCCCCAGGAGGGGGCGGGCCTTGGCCGCTCGCGCGCCCCGCCCTCACCCCGCTGCGCTTGCGCGCTGGGGACAACGGTTGCAGGGCGTCCCGGGGCCTGAGGCAGGACGGTCCGGCGCTGACACCTCTCCTGTCGGCCCTGAGGTTCCCAGCCTGGTGGCCCCAGAACGTTACGGTCGCATGGCGGAGTGCTGTGGACGACGCCCATGGAGCCCTTAGTCCTTCTAGTTGCGCTGTTGCTATGGCCTTCGTCTGTGCCGGCTTATCCGAGTGAGTGACCGGCCCGAGGCGGCAGCGGACCCGGGGGAACCTCCCGGGCTCCGCGACCCCGAAGCCTGGCCCTTCCTTCTCCCTGTTCCTACACGCCTCCCTCCCCCTGTCCAGGGTCCTGGCCTCGACGCCGAGGGTTGTCCCTCTCCTCTCCTGCTCAGGGCACGCAGCGACTCAGGCGGCGGGGCCCCGACTGACGGGGGGCGCGGGCAGGCGGTGGGCGCCGGTGGATCCCCCCCGAGAGGCCTGCCTCTGCCCCGCGGCCCTTCCCCAGCCTTGGGTGGGCGGGTGACGGCGCGGGGGTTGGCTGACTGCCGCCAGCCGGCCACGTCGCCAAGTGGCTGGCCAGCTAGGCATGCTTTTTTTGCATTTTCAAATGTAAATATGAAATGTGCTCCTTCATGACGTGTGGAAAAGCATGACATTCACATTTCATTGTTCGTGAATAAAGTTTTATTGGAACACAGCCGCGCTCATTCCTTTATGTATTACCCATGGCTGCTTTCCCCGCGTTGCAACAGCGGGGTGAGGTGGTTGCCGCACAGTCTGGCCTCCAAAGCCTGAAGTATTTACTGTCTGGCCCTGTACAGAAAAAAGTTGACCCGTGCAGTAAAAGTTGGAGAGCGTGTGGATTGCGGGCCGCGGTCTGGGACACTCACCCGATGATGCAGTCCCAGAGAGCACGCATGTGCACACGGTATTCAAAACCTGAGTTAAGCAGGATTATAACGACTTGACAAAAAGCAATTTTGTCCCTCCCCAGAAGCTGAAAACCAATAAACTCAAATTCAGGGGCACTAAGACTTCGTTACCAATGTCATGTGGGCACCTTGAGGCACTTAGTATTTAAGTCAGATTGGTGAGGCTTACCCATTTAGTCTAGCTAGTTCACTGTGGGATTTAGTAATGCTGGAATTTGGTTTAACTTAAATCAATAAATCCAATTTAACAGGTGTGAAAAAAGTAGTATTGTGCATGCTGATTATGCAAATCTATGTTTCAGAATCGCTAAAAGATCTTAGTTGAAAATCGATTTAGAAACAAAATACGACACAATCTAAATTATCATGAATAGTAGTGGGAAAAGTTCTAAAGTGTCCCAGAAAACTAAAGTTATCTCTTTAAATAATAGCACTTATAATTTGTAGCTGTTTTTAATAAGTTTTGTAAAATTTTTCTTCCTTGGCATAAAGGACCAGAACATAATGAAGATGCTACTGTCTTTTCTTGGTGTCGGATGATCATTATTACTGACACCAGTTATTGCATTTTGATAGTTGTAGATCAGCAAATCACAAGTGACTAACATATATGGAGACTTTAACTGAAGTGATTTTAACACTGTCACACAGTACTCGGGGGCTGCTGGGTAGGAGTCCCTGGACACCCACTTAACTTAGCACTTTCTCTTGCCTAACACCATAATTTCATGGCCTGTTCTCTTTCTTTGCACCATATTCCCTAAGTCTTCTTGGGAAGAAAGAAAAGGGTTGAAAAAACACTTCTCAGAAAAAAAGGTGATTTTGTGTTGAATATATAGATGTTATAAGACATGAGGAAACTATATACAGGTTGTAATCATAGAAGATGTCATGGAAAATGTAATTTACCTCTGTTTTACAGAGTGGATTAAGAAATATATAGAGCAGGCCGTGGTACATGGCTCTTTCTCTGTATCTGTCTCTCTTTTCTCTAAATAATTTTAATTTTGTTTTAAAAATAAGTATATGAAAATAAGTATATAATTGAGTTTGATGTAAATCAGCTATGCATTCTTTCATATGGCCACTATTTGAACGATTGTTGGCAAGATGCAAAAGATAAGGCACATAGGTTTTTATGATGAAAACTGCAGCTTTGACACACTGTTTCTAGATACTGGCTACAGTTTGGAGGTTATATTACATAAACATCAGGGGTGTATTAAGTAACTGCATTTGTTGAAATCTCAGTACTTCTTGTATTGGCCCAATCCAAGTTTAGCTAGTATTTGTTTAATTTAAATTCAGTTAGACATAAATGCCACTTGGGTATACAGAATTTGGCACTCCTTTACACACACACACACACACACACACACACACACACACACACATACCCTGATGGGCTGGATAAACAGCTTTTTACTATATAAAATTTAATATGTTCAGTTTCCTGTACCTGATTTTTCCATAAATACTTTCTCATTTTTAAACTCATGCCTCTTTAATGTATTTATATTGTGCAACTTCTTAATGAGAATTCTTTTTGCTTTAAAAAAAAGTGTACAGGTTGGGTGCGGTGGCTTATGCCTGTAATCCCAGCACTTTGGGAGTCCAAGGCAGGCAGATTACTTGAGCCCAGAAATTTAAGACCAGCCTGGGCAACATGGCAAAACCCCGTCTTTACAAAAAATACAAAAATTAGCCATATGTGGTGAGGCACGCCTGTAGTCCCAGCTGTTTAGGAGGCTGAGGTGGGAGGATCACCTGAGCCCAGGAGGTAGAGGTTGCGGTGACCTGAGATGGCACCACTGCCTTCCAGCCTGGGTGACGGAGTGAGACCTCATCTCAAAAAAAAGAAAAGCACAGTAACTTCTAAAGTAATATTAACTTAATAGTTACATATTTAAGTGATATCAACTACTATTAAAATTATATAATTTGTCTTTTATAATTTTAAGTCATCAAATATTCATGGGCTGGGAGGGCAAACTAATATTAAAAATAAAATTAAAGTATATTAATATGTTAACATTTAAATCAAAATTGTGTAATTTAACATTTTAAATATAAATAAAATATTAATTTTGGGATATGTCCCAAATAAATTGGATCATGTAGATCATCTCTTGATATAGACTAGGAAAAATAGGGTTAATGGCACTGGTTTTAGTCTAGGATTACAAAAGCTCTTATTTCTAGATTGGTATTATAAGAAGGCTCAATATGTCAGTCTTTGGCTTCTGTCATTGTCTTTAGGAAGGATTTTGTTCTAATGAACCAGACAAGGCAAGGGAAATAATAAGGCAGCAACCAGCAAGAATTGTTTGACTCTATCACCAAAGAAATTCAAAGGAAAAGCAGATTTCTTTTATTTCAGATACATTCTAAAAATAACACTGGGTTCTGGTGCTGCAAGTTCACTTTACACTGTTAGTGGCCAAGGCTGTAGCACTTAGGAGGGTCTGTCAAACCTGTGAATGAAATGTCATGACACACTTCATTAATGTTTGAGATAATGAGGAGCGTGTCATCTGATAGGTGGGTGTCCAGAGATAACCTGTGGGACAGTAGCAGGAAGTTTCATTATCCTGTCCATTAGTATTTTATGGGGGAAAAAAGTCCCGTCTTTCTGTTCTTTTGACCATATTATCCCTTAAATGAATATACTTTAATCTCTTGATAATATATGTGAAATTAAACTTAACAATTTTTCATATCCAAATAAAATACTAGTGATTTGAAAAGTTTTCTTTTAGTATCACTATATATTTGAAGCACTTTAAAAACATACAATTTATTTAACCTGAGTATAATTTTTTCTGAGGCTCAAATATTCATACCTTGACCATTTAAAGCCACTGTGAGCTGTCCTCTCGTGTTCTTTTGATAGGATCCCACATATTTCTAAAGACTTCTTGTTTTCTGACATTAACTGATTGTTCCAAGCCCACTTTGTGTCTTTCCCCTCTGTGTCTTTCTCACTCTGAATGGAATAAATCGTCTTTCCAGGGGGATGTAGAACATGGTATTAGAGACCGAAGTGCCTGTGAGACGTACTAGACTAGTGCAGTGGGGCAGTACTGTTACTTTTGTCATTTTAGTGAACAGAACTAGAAGAGAAATATTTAAAGTCATGAGTTTATTTTGGTTCCAATTATAACATTACTCAGAGGATATGTCTTGATTTTTAACGCTTTATCCAAACTAGAATTGTAACATAATTTAATGAGGCTATTTTGGTTGTCTGTTGTGGCATAAAAGACTGCTACCCCGGCTGCTCACACCTGTAATCCCAGCACTTTGGGAGGCCGAGGCGGGTGGATCACGAGGTCAAGGGATCGAGACCATCCTGGCCAACATGGTGAAACCCCGTCTCTACTAAAATACACAAAAATTAGCTGGGCCTAGTGGTGTGCGCCTGTAGTCCCAGCTACTTGGGAGACTGAGGCAGGAGAATTGCTTGAACAAGGGAGGTGGAGGTTGCAGGGAGCCGAGATCACGCCACTGCACTCCAGCCTGGCGACAGAGCGAGACTCTGTCTCAAAAAAAAAAAAAAAAAAAAAAGACTACTCCCCAAATTTATCATTTTTCATGATTATATGGGTTCACTAGATTGAGCTGGGCAGCTCTGCTTTAAATGGTATAGCTGAGGTCATTCATGCAGCTGCATTCAGCTGGATGTTCAAATGGATAGTAATATCCAATATGGCCTCTCATTCTCCAGGGTATTTACATGACTTCTCATCTTTCAGTCCGCTAGCCCAAGTTTCTTTACACCATGGAATTTTGCTTCCAAGAGGGAGATTCATGAGCCCCAACATGGATGCTCTTACTAAGCCTGTGCTGTATCAGACTTGCTAATATCCTGTAGGCCAAGACGAGTCACATGCGGCAAGCCTATATCCAGTGTGAGAAGACACAACCCAAGGACATGAATACCAGGAAGTTCAAAGTCATAAAGTTCATTTCTTTAACTGGAACACCTGATTAATATGAACATAATAACTTGTTTATTTACCTGTCAGCAAAAATTAAGATTTGAATAATAATAAATTATAGGAAAATTGCTGGATGAATAACAAGGTCTAATATTTCCTTTTATGACCATTCCTTGAGTACATCTCAGTAATCAAGCACAATTATTACTACTTTGAGTTGGAAATACAGTACTTCAGCTCAGTTCATTTTAACATTTTAACCTTCATTAAAGTTCATTTTAATTGGAAAGTGTTCATGTTTTAACTGGTAGTTCTTACATGGTGACAGCTTTCAGTTATTCTTACTTTAGCACTTAAC